GTAATCTTCAAATCGCTCATATAGGAACTATTGTGTGATGCACACTTTCTATTCCATGTGAAAAGATGGATTTTAAAGTTTGAGACTCACAAACATACTCTTATATAACCACACTTCCTCTTCTCAACATGGACTGCGTGTTCCCGGGGGCAGGGTTTATGTACATTTTAGTGTTGGTGATGTCACTAACCCTAACCCGGAAGGAATGTTGTGTAATCCCTACCAGCCGTTTGCTGTAGTCCTTTTCTTTAAAAGTAAATATCTTCCTTTGCTTTGAACTTTGAGCGTTGTAACTTTGATAATGTTGTTTATGTTCAAACACCAACATCACACACTAACTAAAGTTAGAAAAGTGAAATCATACTTTGCCACCCCTTAAAAATCTCCAGCAATGGCAAAACAATCAAACTCTGAGGAAATTAGAAATTATTGATAACAGTTCTGTAAAGTCCTCATCAAAGGCTGGAGAGTATTTTGGAGGCCTGTAAATAATAAGTAAAATATGTGGAGCACCTTTTAACCCTTTAAGTGACTTCTCAACCAAACGGTTGAGCATATTTTGAGTCACTCTATTTAATTCACCTTTGGCTAAGCCACGCCCTAGAATGTAGATTGACCAATCACAGCGCAGTCAAGAACGAGCTCCCACAGTGTCCGATTTTTCACAGCGCTTCATTGACTTTCAACACAGGCATCTCATGTTATTGGTCTCGGCAGGCTATTACCGTCAAAGTTTTATCCAAAATATGGTTAAACGTTGTGCCTCGGGCATTTGCAACACAGATGCGCGTTTCCCAGAGAGGTTGGAGAGGGGTGTCCGTTTTTTCCGTTTGTGTCTGGGGAGAGGGGCTTTTGCTCTGGTGTTGTCGGAGGTTGTAATATGCTGTCCTGGTTTCCCTGGCTGTTTTCCAGAAAGTCACTCTTGGGAGCTGAATCTTGGAGCAGTTCTGATATGTTACAGTCTGTCTGTGGTGAGCTCTGTGGGCAGGGTTCTGCTGAGATTTTGTCCATGAGTAGAAGTTGTTGTGGCTGCACAGTGTTATTGTTGTCCTTGTGTGATATGTCAACCGCATGTCCATTCAGGTCCTGAAGTGAAGTCCTGTGGTCATTCATACTGTGTCCAGGTGTGTGTGTGTGCCATTCAGGTTGAGTGTATTGGCACACACTGCAGAAGGATCATTGAGGGAGTAGTAGATATTGTCCTTTAGCACTCTCAAACCAAGTTTGTTTGGGTGGAGTCCATCCTGTTAAAACAGTTGCCTCTGACTCCAGAAAAGATTGAGGTTGTCAATGAAATATTGCAGTTTTTTTTTGCAGCCATGTGTTGAGCCCAAGCAACCGTGAAAACCTGGGAGGTGACATAAGATGACATGCATAAGATGAAAATCTTTTTTAGACTTTTTTTAGGGCGGAAGTGGCTCAGTGGTTCATGTGGGTTGTCTACGAACCGAAAGGTTGGTGGTTCAATCCTTGGTTCCACCTGACCAAGTGTCGAGGTGTCCATGAGCAAGACACCTAACCCCAGCTGCTCCCGACGAGCTGGCTGGCGCCTTGCATGGCTGACACCGCCGTCGGTGTATGAATGAGTGTGTGAATGGGTGAATGTGAGGCAAATGTCAAGCGCTTTGGTGGCCATTAGGTCTATGAAGGCGCTATATAAATGCAGCCCATTTACCATTTACCATAGACTACTTGTTTTCCTGCCCTCTCAGATGTGTAACGTGTATGTGTCCAGATATAGATTGATAATCTGAATCCAGAGTTCCTGTTCCCCTGTTTTCACCACCAAATCTGTTTCTGTTTTAGTCCTGTGTTCCCTCTAAGAGGCAGTATAACTGTTGGTTCAGTGATGTGAATAAGCTCTGAAAAAGGTTCTTGGCATTGAAAAAGTAAAAGGTCAGTTTTATTCAAACAACTTCAGATTCATTTGGTTGTTGTATCCAGGGAAAAGAGCTGAGTCTGGATATATCTTCTATCTTTTTATATATTGCAATTAAACAGTCATTTTAATTTGTGTAATTTTATTTACCACTCATAATCGACTGAGATTGATTTGTACTTTCTTATTTATGGTTCCATATGTAAATATCACTCATATTACATTTTTTGTGTTATTTAACAAAGTGAAGATGACTGTATGCAAAAATCTACGGTTTCACAATGATTAACTGAAGGTGACAAACCACTTAATGCTGGTTTCCTTTTCCTCTTGATCTTTAAAGGCCCCCAAACCATTCAAGGTGGAGTCAAAACACTCTGCTCCTCATGTTCATCTGAGATTATTTTTTAGTTACACTCAGACGTTTTTGTCTTTCTTACCAGTCACTGGTTTCTCAGTTAATTTCCTCTTTCATAATGTTAGGTTTGAAGTATGCTCATGTTGTTCTCTTGTTTCTTATCACCCCCTCTGTAAATGGTAAGTTAAATTCCTTATAGGTTCTAAAATTGTCAGGAGTTAAATGTTTATTTAAAGCTTTTAAATAGAGTATTCATAAGACTTGTTGGATTTTATTTTAGCAGTCTAAAGCAGTTCTATTAGTGTGTGTAATTTTTTATAAAATTTTCAATACATGTGATTCATCTATAAATGTTACTAACTAGCCATTTCACCTCAGCACATGGAGGTATTGTTTATATCCACAGAGGAAGAAATTCATCCATTGACATTTCCTGTGAATCAACCAGCAAGGAGGGAAAACCATTCGCCTTTTCACTGAAACGCAGGTTGCTGCAGTCTAGACGAGTCCTGTATCTTTCTGAAGGATTATTACCAACTATCAATAAATCTGAGGACAAGGATCGCATCACAGTACGTGATGAGTTGTACAACCACACAGTTCATCTGACAATCTCAAACCTGCAGGGTCGGGACATAGACGTATACCACTGTGAATTCTACTATGGCAGTCTTCCAGAAGATAAGAATATCCCTGGCAAGATGGAGTTCTTCATCTATGTTGAAGACTTTTGTAGGTGACCTTTATTTATATTACTTTAAATATGTGTTTACCCTATGTCCCGTCCAAACAGTGGATAGCCGAATTAGGTTAATCTTGCATTTAATACCATCACCTTAACAAACAGAAACCATACAGATGCACTTCATATTCAACAGCAAATTCTCAACTCAGTGCATTATTTTCATGCTGTGTGTTGTGTTATTGTTAGATACAAATGTAGGATAATCAATTAATAAACCTTAACAGGAACAGATTGATTACTGTTATTTTTCAGTGCAGTAGGTTGTATTATCCAAATCTTTCAGTCAACGTGCTAGTCATGTTAAACTGGAATGAAACATTTTCAAATCTACAATTAGTTCTATGTTAGATTACTTGCAATTTACTACCCCCGTTTATGTATCAATGTAGGCTACTGAGAGTGAAACTAGACAATATGATGCAGTCAAGCAGTAAAAGTCTCAAATTACTCATAAGGTCAAGCAGAAACCACAAAATCATTTCTTTTATTTGCAGATGATTATTAAAGAACTTAAGACTGAACATTCACATAAAATAAACTTGGGCTGACTACCTACCAAGTGCTTTTACTGAAAAAGAGACACATTTTGTGCCTAATTCTTTTGGCTCCTCCTAATATGTGTGTGTGTGTGTGTGTGTGTGTGATAAAAAATGGCTACAATAATTCAATAATAGTTTAGTATGAACTAAAGTTTAGTAAAATCCATAATAAAGACTATTAAATAACCTACTTTACATGTGTTCAGCCTATTTCGTATTGACTGATTTATAGGTCAGATATGGGAAGATATATGTGCAAAAATAAAAATATACTTTATATATTATGTATATTCATTGATGGCTGAACACAAATTCAGCAGCATATCTTAAATAAATTGAAAATAACCATGAGAGCTGTGGAAATATAATGCATTAAATACAGTAATATTGCAGCATGTTCCTTTATTGTTATTGTGTTTGTTGCAACTGTGTTGCAGCTCGTGAGCCACTGCAATCGTGTGATTGTTTAAGTTACCTGTCATTGCTGTATGTGATCTCTGGAGCTGCATGCCTGCTGGGGGTTCTGGTTTTTACTCTCGCTACCGCTTATTGTGTAAGTATCAAGTTTCAAGTTTGTTTTTAAATTCAATGGATAGGGGAGAGTGGGAAATGCTGTGCCACCCTGTTTAGGTTGTTCTTTAGGCAAAAGGACCTAAAATAGAAATACTAATTATGGTCAACGTGTGTTATTCACTGAAAATAGAAGAAAGTGCATATAACAATAGGTCCATAGATCTTTTTTCCTCCTCCTCAAAAAAAGTGGTCCCTCCCTAGATTAGGGACCCCATCATAGGGGAATGACAATTATTATAATAAAATGATTATATGAGAAAGAACAGATTTGAAAGTTTCATTGCAACTTTATTTTACAATATATTTAATTGTTATTGGTTCAACAAAAATTAAATAAATGAAAGCATACTAAAACTGTTGACAGCGATTTGCCAGCAAATATGTGGTTTAAAGGTGGTGTATTTCTGACCATATATGGTTTCCACCCCACTATATATTCAGTTTCAGTTAAACCCTCCTTCTACCGATTTCCTCTCGCATACAGTGTAAAAGGCCCAACCGTAGAAAGCCACAGCCTGTAGTTCCTGTTTATGAGGAGATGACTGGGGTGCGGCCAGACAAAAGAAAAGCCACAAGCTGTCAGACTGATATGGCAAAACTGGAAGAAGCAAACAGCTCTGTGGCCACTTTGTTCAGCAATGAAAACCTCTATGTTAATTGATTCAATGAAATGTAGTGAATAAGAAGTCACTCTATTAGAGTGTTGACGTTCATGCTTTAGCTGACCCACAAGACTTAACTGAATCAGCAGCTTTAAAAGGTGTTTGATAACATAAAATTGGTCATCTTTTCATCTTCCATCTATACCTTTGTTAAAGGTACTCTTAAGAGATGTCATTTTATTGCAGAATCTCAGCCTGTATCCTTTTTATACATGAATAAATTGTTGTTTTTTTTAAGTACAAAATGTGTATTATATGAGTAAAAGTATTTTGTATTTCTTTAGTACACACTGTCAATATCTTTAATTGCCGTTTTTGTTTTTATCCCTTCTGTGGAACAGAATGGTAGTTTTCCACTGTCTGCATGTAAAAAAAAAAACTGTTGCAGGACCTGTTTATTAAAAGGTTGGGAAATTATGGAAAACGACAAGGGAAAAAATGCTGTTGATAAGACTCAATTTTTCAGACATTATGTGAAACATTAAAGCATGCAAATAAAGTTTAGATGAAGTGCCTCCACGGTTTCACACGCAGGCTTCCTGTCTTTTCTGTTTTCGTTCAAAAACAGTGAACCACAGATCGCAAACAGGTTATCTGACAGTTTGAGATAAAAGTGAGTGCAAAGTGTGACATTTGTTTGCTTTAAATATGAATGCTATACGTTTTATTCACATGGCAACAAACATTATCTCTCATGTACATATTTACAATTTACTTGTATCATGTTTAAAGAAAAAACTTAATAGTTTTCTGTCTCAAATAGAGTCTCAAGACGTGGGAATGTACATTTGACAATAAATAGAAATATAACAGCTATGTTTTGTAATGCATTCTTTCTTAAAAACTAAATACTGTTTCTATTGATTCTTCTGCAAATGGGAGATACTGTAGCTAGGGCAGACAGGACATGGGGGATGTACGTTTAGGGTCTGCTCATCGCGATCTGAGGAGGGCTCTGTACATGGCAAAGCCTAGAACAGCACAAACAGTGGCTCCAACACTCACTCGGAGCCAAAATGCAGAGCTCTTCAGGTCAGCATGGGTGATATCCCTAAAAAAAGAGCAAACAGAAATGAAGAGGAAAAAGGTTAAATTAATGTTTAGTAGCTTGCATTTAGAACTTAATTTATACAAATTATACAATTATGTGACTGCAACTTAAGATAAATACAAATAAAACATTTAGTAACATTCTGTAGGGAAAATCTAGTTTAGTTTAGTGAACATTTATGCCCGAAAAGTGACAAACCCAAGAATTCAAATAAACAGATATAAAAATATACAAACAGTGTTATTTAAAGGACATAATGAAAAGCTTGTCACTAAAATGTTACAAAACTCTGTCAAAGATGAAGAAAGATGACAAATTCAGATTCAAGAAATGGCAATGACAGATGGAGAACACAAACTTTAAGAAGAGGAAATAGAGAGGAAAATAGCAATAGAAGAATCACTGTGTTGAAACTTAAAACTGTGACAATGAGAAACTGAATTGCTGCATATCACAAGTTGCAAGTCTGGCGAGGATGACAAGATATTGAATTTAAGAAGCATGTAGCAACCCAAAATCCACACCCGTGGAATTCCTTACTACTTGTATATTGCATGGTTTGTTGTTTAATACAAGTTATTATAATCATTAGGTCTAATTACACACACACAAAAACTGAATATTATCATTAATACCACTAATCCTCTAAATGACATTTGTGTTTGTATGCAGGCATTAATGTTTGTATAAAGCATAAGGAGGTGGGCTTCCCCAGCATGAGAGTCCCCAGATTTTTGGTTCCAACCAAAGGATTTTTTTTCTTATCTACTTAATATTTTAGGGAATTTTTCCTTGTCATTTTGCTTGTTCATTGGGGGAAATTGTGAGACACTGTTCTTTGTAAATCTCCTTTGGAACTGTACGTTCTGAAAACTGCTACACAAATAAGCAGGACTGAATTGAAAAAGTATTCAAAAATGCTCGGTAGCTCTGAAAAGAGGTGACAGTCCACAGAAGGTCATAACTGTGTTGCCTAGGGCCTCTCCATTATACTATTGAGTTTTATGACTATATGGTATATTCAAAAGTTTATTAGCACATTATGCCAGGCCAAAACAAAAAGCTGAATAAAAGAAAATGAATGTGAATCAGCATGAGAGTAATGAAGGAAAAAGTCAATGAATAAAGATAAATGCAGAAGAGATAAGTAAAAAACAAAGAGGAAAAGCAATGAAGCATCCTGAGAACCTGATAAAGACGACAGTGTAGAGTTTGGTCCGAACCGTCTGCATAAGCTCAGAGTTCAGGAAGTTCTGACACAGACAGAAAGTGCACCTGTTACAGGTACACATGCAGCGTAGGCGCGCATGGCTGCCAACACACAAAAAAAGATACAGGCACATGACAGAAATGAGGCATTTCGAAGAAACAAGATATAGTGTACTTTTGAATTAACAGTTAAAAGGGAAAAGTGAAAGGATTAAAATCACATTGTCAAGTTGAGTGTTCAAGTTTTTTTTTTAAACTACTAACAAGTACAACATTCACTGTTGTTTTCTCTTTTGTTGTCTTACACAATGAAGGAAAAAATGATATCACATGCATGGAACTGACTCACTTCTGAGTAAACCACCTGACCATGTACTAATTTTATTGCTATCTGCATTTGGAAAAAAAAAATACCCTGAGAGATAAACAAGAGTGGTAAATTAACTCTTTCCACGCCAGCGTTTTTGAAAAAAGTTGCCAGCCAGCACCAGGATTTTTTTTATAATTTTCATAAAAGTTTTAATGGCCCCCAAAATATCTTCTTGTATGAATATCTGATCATGAAATATCTCAAAAGAAAGAACTGACTATCTGCTTTTAAACAACAACAAAATCCAAAAATATTTTAACCAACACTTAAATGTGGGCAAGTTTAATAAAAATAGCAACATTTTGAGCAACAAGCTGATAATATCGTGTTTTCGTCAAAGGCTACATCTAAATCGGATTCAGAACGATGATTAAATCATAGACGAAGTAGATCAAGTCCATCAACATCCCCAAATGTTTGCACAGTCCTATAGCTCGTCCTGTGTCGACATTTCATTCAGTAACATTTGATTTGTATGCTGTTTAATGTTGATGATGGCATTATTTTACATCTGCATCCACTTACATATGAATGATATCGCTTGTTTCTGCTTCTTTTTGATCAGGAGATTCAGTACTCTTTCAGAAGATGCCTAACAGCATCTCCCACCATATAACAGTGAAAACACTAAAAGCCAGAAAATTCCGTCAATGGCAGGGAAGCGCTGTCTCATAAATGACAGAAATTTCTGTCAATGATAACAGAGAGATAACAGAGAGAATTCAAAAATAGTAATTTATAGTAATAAGTTGTCTTAAAATATCCTAAAAGGAATTAACAAGCAGAGGCAACTCTACTGTGCTTCAAATGTGTTAAAATACCCTATAAATATTACAATTGTGGATAATGTAAACACACTTACGGGTACACGGCCATGGTGATGAGTTTGATGAAGATGTCTTTGCTGGGAGCCGCAGCTGTGTTACAGGTATAGGACTGAGGCGGAGGCATCTTGTGCTTGCGGCAGAATTCCAGTGGAGTCATGCAGTATTGCTGCTTTGTTTCTGGCAGGTCTGACTTTGCGGCAATCAGCATACATGGAGTCTTACTGTCCATGAAGTGTTGCTGGGAAATGAGGTAAAACTTCAATGAGGTGAATTTAGAACACATACATATAGGATGTTTAAATTACAGTCATAAAGGAACATTACCACAAATGTGAGCTTATTGGTCTCTCTATTCAACAGAGAGCATTGGTTATGCTTTTTCTTTAAATAGCAAAAAATGTACATCAAAGTGTAAAACAACAAAACTGTGACCCGTATAGCAAACCTTGAAGATTCGTGAGCAGTACTCAAAAGAGCAGGGGTTGCTGACATCATAGATCAGACACACAACGTCACATGAAAGTTCTATCTCAGACAGGACATCAAAATCTGGAAAGACTTCATGGAGCTAAAGGAAAAACATAGGAACTTAGAACAAAGTTTCAAAGATTCAGTTTACTTTTCGAGAAACTCATAAATAGTACAAATAATGATAAATGGTGGTCAATTCTCTGAACTCTTTAAAAGGCACAATATGTAAGATTTTTTTCCGCGACGAGAGGGCGCAGTTTCCAACAAAAACAAAGGCGTAGGTTAATGACATAGTGATGAGCTGAATGATGGGACTTGCTGTCAAGCAGATAGATCTAATAATGTTTATGGATGCGTGCAAACATTCATGTTTTTTAACATTACAGTGGTATGAAGCAGGTCGCGATTGCTAAAGGGACAGATCACACGCGAGTTCCACGGATATAAAGGAATAAGGACATTTAATTCTACCCAACTACCCCCAAATGTGCTGGATTACTCATACAGGTCAGTTTATTAGAGGAATTAAACTTGTGAGGTAAGGCAGCGCTGCTTCACTTGGACTAACAATACGCTATCACACTAAACGGCATGTTTTATGTGCATTTGCTCACCTGTCTAATAAAGCTTTCAAGTCGTGATTCGTGAAGCTCTGTCAAGTCCAAGTTAGTCGCAGACAGGGAGCTCTTGGCATTTCAAAAACGCCACGCTGTTTGATCCTCATTTTAATTCTCCTTGTTTGTCCCAAAGTCGGCTTGCCATGGTCTATGTTTGAAAGAAACAAGAACTGCATGGCGCTAAACGTTACGCACTACGCAGTTGTCCACGTCTGTCGCCATGGTTACGTCATGGCTATGGCAGTATAAACGGAAACTGAGGATAGCGCGGATATTAAGTCATTGACAGGCAAAGTTTTTGTCCGGGACGGCCAATTATTTAAAATTGGAATTTCTCTGAAATAGAAAAAATCTTTGGAGACTTTTGGGATATTGTACGTACACAACTGCAGGATGTGCATATATGACAATGTGCAAGTGATTTTTGAACATTTTGTTAAACAGTTCTTACATATTGTACCTTTAAATGGATTAAATGCATAATGTAAGTTCAAATGGTCTGAGGAACTGCAATAGAGCTGCTCTATTTCCTCTTCTGTCAAAACCCAGAACTCCTTATTCGCCTGTGGTTTCCTCAAGATTTTTACATGGGGTTTTATACTGGGGTTTTTCAATTCATGAGAAAAGGAAGGACTGTGGTAAAGATAACTTGATACTTGGACATTTTGCTCTACAGCATAAATTACACCAAATTTGTTGTGTGCTTCTCTTTACGCCTCCACGGACACTGAATCCAGCTTAACACGAGAAGCACAACAGTAGTTTACATGGTAGAGCAAAACATTCAAGAATCATCAAGTTACATTTTTCACAGACCTTATTTCCCATGGAACCAGTAGCGAATTAGTCTTCCAGGTTTTGACGTCATCGCTGCACCATTCTCTATACTTTTTGAAAATAGTGTTCAGAAACTGTAGTTCCAAAAACTGAAAAAACAAAAACAAACAAACAAAAAAACACTAATGTGTAAGATTTTGTAAGAAAAAAACGATTT